AAGCTGCAACATGGGTGGCCAGGCCATGGAGCGAGACCTCAGTAGAGTCGAACTTGGCGAAGGCTCGACCTAAGTCGCTCTTGCCGCCACGGGCAAGGCGAACTGCGATCCGACACAACCGTTCGATACGGGTGCGGACGCCCTCCTGGCAGGGCGAGACCGTGGCGCGGACACGAGCCTCGGCGGGAGCGAGGCTAGGATGACCCAAAGTGAGCCAGTTCAACGCAATAACAGAATACTGCGCGAGCGTCCGCGCCGCGCGCCGCAATCTCCAGCGCTCCCTGCGCCTCGCCGACAAGCCGTCAGGCGGGGGACCAAGAGGTGGAGCAGGCGGGCACGGCCAAGGATCGCGGGGAGGCGGCCCCAAAAGGTACGGGTCGTCCCTGTCCATTGCACGCATTGATGAGCGGGAGAAAGATCCAAGAGAACATCGAGCACCCATCCCAACCTGGGACAGCGCTGCCGCCCAGTGGGCGATATCAATGTTCGCGCCTGGAAACAGGCGCAGCAAGGCAGACAAGTCAGCGACAAATGGCGCGACGTTGGCAAGAGCAGCAGGGGTGCTTGAAGGAGAACAAGCACCAGCAAGAACACCAACCTCAGGGGCTGCAGGCCCCATGGGGGGAGCGCTCGACTGAGGCAGGTGACGGCCAAAATGGCCGAATGGATCCGAGGGGCGGTTCGGAGCAGAGCGAGGGGCGTGGTGGCGGAACGTACTCCTCCCTGCGGGGCCGCAACAGCATCGCTGGAGGAGCGCATTCCTACCCTCACGCCCTCGCTGCGCCCAAACACGCCTAGCAGCCGTAGCAGCGTCGGTGCAGACTGTCTGCGGCGGCGTACCCCGGCCACGCGAAGGCCCCCCCTCCAAGAAGGCGGGCGCCAAGGGCATCTTCAGTCCTTCTTGGGCACCGCCTTCGGGGCCTTGGGAGCACCCTGAGACTTGAAGGGGGGCTTTGAGACCTTGGGCTGCTTGGGCTGATGAGGTGGATGCTTGGGGAGCGCGACGGCGCGCTCGGCGTCGAGGCGCGCCCGAAATGCTTGCAGCTCCTTCATGTATTCGCCCTGCGCCGACAGCCAGCGAGGATCCACTAGGGGTGAAAACGGGGTCTGGGCCTCGCGCTCCGTGTGACGACTGGTCACGCGACACGGGGGAGGCTCCAGCCCCGTGAGGAACCAAGCGGCCTCGAGGTAGCCGCGGTCCCCCGCCAACTGGTCGATGAACATGCACTGGCAAGTCAGCAAGGTCTGGACCCTCTCGGGGTTGCCCTCCTCGCAGGCCCGCCACAGCTCGGCGCTGAGGAAGGCAAAATGCGTCAACAACTCGTGCGTCGACGGCTGAGCCCCGAGGGGGCTGTGCTCGCGAAAGTACTGATGCATGGCCATGGGGGTCACGGCGCTGACTTCCACGCCCAGAACGCGGGCCAAATTCTCCTTCATCAGTCCTCGCACGTCGGGGCCGTGCTGCATCAGCGCTTGCTGCCACTCGCGCCTCCGAGCGATTCCCCCCATCTGAGCCGATGCGTGCGCGGGGTCGCCCGAGGTCGCGGGCGGAGATTGAGCTTGGTCGCTCAGGGTCCCCAGAAGCGGGTGGAAGGCTGGGCGATGGCCCCGCCCCTGCTGCAAGGAAAGGGACTGGTGCAGGCACTGAAGCATGAGGCTGAAGTCCGTCGGATTGGCCGCAAGGGGCGGCTCTAACCCGTCGGCGCCGCCCGCCTCGGCAAAGCCGTCGACCGCAGCGGGATGGGCTAGCCCAGGCGGCGGCGGGGGGCCCATCGGTCCGAAAGCGGACGAAGGGGCCCGAGGGACAGCAAGAGAGCGCGCCTTCTCCCACGCCGAGACCAGCGCGGAGGTGGGTCCCTTGGGGCGCGCGGAGACCCGATGTGGGGCCACGGGCGCGTGGGACAAGACGGCCTCGATCCCCGCAGGATCCAGCCCGAGGCGCGCCGCCTCGTCGCTGAAAAGCTGAGGCACCTCGGGCCGAGCGCTCCGGGCAGCCGGAGCGGGGCCCAGCGGTTCGGGTCCGCCGACCATCGTGGAGGCCGCGTGGGCTGCAAGCAAGGCGCGCATTTCGGCAGCTACCTCGGCGCGGGTCATGGGAGCCCCGTCGTCCAGAGACGCCGCAGGAGCACCAGGAGCAATCGGAGCAGGACCCGCGACCCGTGGCGGCGCGGCGGCGCCAGCGCGCTTGGCGGGCGGGCCGCGCGGCGCTCCAGCGACCGCGGGGGCTCGCGCACTTGGGGCCGCGCGGTCGGCTTCCCCGTCGGCCGCGAACCCCTCGGGCTCCTCCATCTCGTCGGCAGAGTGGTAGGGGGTAGCCCGATCGGCCCCTGGGAGAGGCTCTTCCCCTGCGGTAGGCGGGGCGCCGTGCAAACGAGCGTAGCCCTCGCGAAGCACCCGAACCCCCGAAGGATGCGGCCAATAGACGCGGCTGCGCACCTCGGCGAAGGGAACGATGCCTGCGTCGTCGCCGACCTCTAGAGGGTACAGCGACTCGAGCTCGAGCTCGGCAACCTCGATATCTATAACGAGGACGGATGCGGTAGTGGCGAGCGGCCGTGAAGCGGCCCCCTGGAGCTGGACGTCCACTAGCTGGAAGGGGCCTATCATCCCAGCAAAGCCATCCGCCTCGGCAGCCTCGAGCTCCGCTGTAGAGCGAAAGGCGCCAGGCAGGGCCAGCAGGATGCCCCCTTCTCGAGAGGCGAGGGGGATAGCCGCCCAGCTGGTGTCGCCGTCGTCTAGGCGCCATCGTGCGTAGTCGCGCGCCGTGGGCGCAGCGAAAGGGTAGAGCTCGGGCCAAAGGGGCCCTCCGCCAACTGGTGGCAGCTCCGCCATCAGTGGGCGCCGCCGTGGACGCCGCCGCCCGCACGCTGGGCGTCTGCCCGCTCGAGCGCTTGAGGTCGAGGCGGAACCCCGTAGGCCAGCGCTCGCGCCGCACGGCGGTCCTGCTCAGGTGAAGCAGAAACCGCGCCGCGCGGCCAGGCGGAGGGCCAGAGCCTCCGCCACACGTACGGGCCCAGCAGCCCGAGGCAGCAGCCCGCGCAGGCGCTGCAGGCGGCCGTCACCCAGAGGAGGGCGGCGACCGTGCTGAGCAGCCAGGGAGAGACCCCGCCGCTCAGGTCCACCGCCAGCCCGAGGCAGACGGTGGGGCAGGTGGAACCCGCCGAAGGGAGAGGGCAGGAGGCCCCCTCACCCTCGGACGAGTCCGCCTGCTGGATGGACCAGGCAGGCGATGGAGGCCCCTGGTCCTGAAGCACAGAGAGGGGGGCAGCCACGAGCCGCTCGTAGAGCGCGGCCCGCAGCCCCCTGAACAAAATCTCCCCAGCGCCCTGAGAGCCGCTTGTGCGACCGCCTGCATAAGGCGCCCGCACGCGCGGCCGACGGGGGGCACTTGGGCAGAGAAGCTGCGGAGACAGCAGGAGCTTGCTCACAGAGAATAGAAGAGGCATATTGATGAGGGGACGCACGGGCGAAGGACCAGCCGCGGTGGCAACAGCAGGAGACCCCCCAGAAGAGGAGGTGCAAGGTGCGGACGAGGCCGGTCGGCACCAGACGAGGGCCCGATCGAGGTCCAGAGCCCTCGGGAGAGGCGGGCCACCGAGGGGTATCTACATCGACAGAAAGAGAGAGAGAGAGAGAGAGAACAGAAAGAGAGAGAGAGAGAGAGAGAACAAAGTGAGAGAGAGAGAGAGATGAAAGAGAGAGAGAGAGAGAACCCGCGCGAACAACAAAACAACGCACATGGTACTCCTCCTCCTCCTGCGCCTTTCCCCTCACATGACTCGTCGCCCGCACTCTTCCCGTGCTGCTCCTGGTGCTGCCCGTCCTCTCGATACTGTGTGTTTCCTCCTTCTGCTGCTCCTTCGGGCGTGAGGCGAGTATACGATGTATACATCGGCATGCACAGGAAAATACAGGGATATAGCAAGAACGCGAGAACCAACAGACGACACAATGACTCGTAGTTGCATATATGCATGCACACTTGAATACAACACTGCAAATATACATATGTATATACAACTATGCGCGTGTGGGTACAAGCGTGGACGGCAAACAGAAAATGATTCAACGTGGATGCGCAAGCTATGTGGTGCAAACTATGCTGCTAGAGATAACGGACACGAGGCGACAACGAGGTGGCAGCGGGCGGCAATGCGGCGAAACCTCGGCGGATCCCCCGAGCGCGGTGGGCGGAAACGAGGCGGCAACGGGCGGCAACGTGGCGAACCTTGGCGGACTCCCCAAGCGCGGTGGGCGGCAACAGGCGGCAACGTGGCGAAACCTTGGCGGACCCCCCAAGCGCGTTGGGCGGCAACGAGGCGGCAACGTGGCGGCAATGTGGCGAGACCCCGGCGGACCCCCCACGCGCAGCTGGCAGCAGCGCGGCGTCAACGTGCGGCCACATGACGAAACCTCAGCGGACCCCTCAAACGCGGCGGGCGGCAACGGACGGAAACAGGCGGCAATGTGGGGAAACCTCGGCGACCCCCCAAGCGCGGAGGGCGGCAACAAAGTTGTAACGGGCGGCAGCGTGGCGAAACCTCGGCGACCCCCCAAAACGCGGTGGGCAGCAACAATCCGGCAATAAGGCGTAACCTCGGCGGACCGCAAGGGCGTGGTGTGCGACAAGGAGCGGCAACGGGCGGCAATGTGGCGAAGCCTCAGCGGGGCCCCGGAAGCGCGGTGGGCGGCAACGAGGCGGCAACAAGCGGCAACGTGGCGAAACCTTGGCGGACTCCCCAAGCGCGGTGGGCGGCAACGAGGCGGCAATGTTGCGAAACCTCGGCGAATCTCCCAAGCGCGGTGAACGACAAGGAGGCGGCAACGAGGCGGCAATGTGACGAAACCTCGGGGAACCCCCCAAACGCGGCGGGCGGCAGCGAGACGGCAACGGACGGAAACGTGGCGAAGCCTTGGCGGAACCATCTGATTCCGTAGTGACCGAAGTAAGAACACTGCTCGGGCAATATACGCATGGGGCAGACAGAGAAAAGCCCTGCCTCCACAAAGAAATTGCCGGCGGCTCGTTGGGATCCATCTCCGTCACTGCCAAGGCACACTCGAAATCAGGCCTGCTGAGACAAGTCGGGCGGATGAGCCAGAGGTGGAGGAACAAACCATGCGAAGGGGTCCAGGCATGCATCATCAACCGTGTAGCTGGTAAGATTGTGTATGAATGGCGTCGCGCCTCCCATTCCCAACCCACACGCGCAGCCATCCACCCACCGCCCACTGCCCGCCTACAACATCAGGCAGACTTACCCATGCATTCGAGACCGGCATTTACAACAACGGCGTGTATGCAAAAGTCTTGACACCAGAGCGGCCCGTCTGCTTGAATGCAAACGTAGAATTAAAGCGAAGTCGCCTCTTCTGCAAATCCGGAAAGGACACCGAACCACAACTGTTACTGGGACGGCTGCGAACACCCGCATACGGCGGGTAATATGAATCATCGCATTACGGTTCACAAAATCATTCACAACCTTGGGCGAAACGGCATGACAAAGAACACAATATGTTCTCTTTGGCAACACGGCAATAGGGGCCCACAGAGAGTAACCAGCAGGACAAGGACAAGAGGATGTGGAGGGTGTGGCGCCTAGCGCACCCACAGCAGGGGAGTGGGAAGGGTGCGAAGACGGACAAGGCCAGCTTTCGAGCCTGGCACGCGCAGCCAACACGTACATCGTGAACTCCGTGGCCCCCTGGCAGGTAGTCCCATCCAAATGTTCGGAATATTGTCACATCGCACGTAAAACACATCAAGCCACCATGATCCATCATGTTTGTTTGCCAGCGAACGGGCCGTGCCGAATGTGCTTGTCTGGTGCGCGGCCATGCGAAGTCAACCATCAACTATGAACGCAAACCTTGGCAAGTAGACACCTCCAACTTCTGATGCTCCGGAGAACACACACACACAAACACACAGAACACGACAGTGCCAGCTTGGCAAGTCAATGGCATCACTGAGATTTCAAGCAGCGTCCCTGGTAAAATTGAAAAAGCCCTTGAGAACATACTGCCGTCTACGCGAACCAGCGCAACATTGTCAAGGACTGCGGGTTGTACAGCATTGTGACACGAAAGTCGCCAATAAAGGCTCGCCAGGAAGCGATTGCTCCGATTGCACAGCACAGAACCACTAGCATGCCAATAATGTACCGAACATACAAAATCGAGATCCAACCAAGTTGGGAATGAACACTGCGCTATGAGTGCCATGACCCGCGATCGGTGGCACCTCACCATTGGCGGAGCCCACCCCCAGCATGTCGCACAGCGGGCCAGCGCAGAGGGAGCTGACGCTTACGTCCTCGCCGATATCGCTCAGCATGTCGAGCACCTAGGTGAAAGACGCACGAATGCGACTCCCAAAGGGCGTGACCCTGCCAGTGCGATCCGCCTTCTCAACTCATGGTTTCCCTCCTCGCCATCCTCATTATACACTCCATACTCTAATTCATCACCCTCCTGCTCAGCCTGAATTTCCGTTCCTACTGCACCTCCTCCTCCTCCTCCTCCTCCTCCTCCTCCTCCTCACTACCACCACCACCACCAACAACAACAAATCCTTTTCCCGAAACTCATCAGTCTAAGCATCATCCTCATCACCCTACGCCCTTCTCCTCCTCCTCCTCCCCCGCCTCATCATATGGAATCAAAGTTCCGAGCGCCTTCTGATGCTCCTGTTTGTTCCTTTTCCTCTGCGATGCGAGACGATGCCACCGACGCACAGACCCCTGCCACAACATCACCATATCGCTCGACCTAGAAACGTCGCCAATACCACCCCCAGCGCCAACTCCGATGGCCAACACTTCGATGAGGAAAACACACACAACCTAGTGGTGCAAAACATTCCCCAGCCCTGCACAATACGTTTCGCATGCACGGTGACGTGCAACTGCAGAGAACTGCAACCCCCGCTCCTCTCTCGCTCTAGCTCAAAGCACCATCGCCGCACATACGCAGATTCATGCGATTGGTGATCGCCAGGGGGCCCAGCGCACTTTCACTTCAGATGACCTTGCTCAGGCGGCTCCTGTGGCCGAGATCACGTTCGAAAACTGTTCTGACTGGGAAGTGCTCCCGTGCGAAGCAGGAGTAGCAATCGTCTACCAATACGATTACAGCCTAGATGAGCCAGGTCGCGCATTAAATGAGACCAGCCAACGAAAGAATCTGCCCATTAAGGGGGGGCATCTTCAATCCACAAAGGCCGTGGTCTGCCGGTCCAGAAATCCTGTTTCACGTTAGCGAAGCACTCTGGCACGCTGACGACCCTGCAGTTCACATCCGTTGCAAGCCTCTTCACCTCCTCGCCCACTGTCTCTTTGACGGGAAAGTCCCAGATCCGCCATCGAGCCCCCTGGCACGGGGAGGCATATTAAAATGCCAAATGGAATATGGTAGGTGTCCGCAACCTTGTAAGTAACCCTCCCTCCCCTCCCACCGCAGATTTCAGTGTACACCGCCACAGCTCCCGATGCCATGATGCAACCTGGACATGAATGCATCAACGTCTTCACCTCCTGCAGCTCCAGCCGGCCCGAGAGGGCTCCAAGATGACGCCAAGACAGTACAAGAGAGCCCAAGCATTGCAAAACAACCATCTAACCTCCGCCTCCTCCTCCTCCTCCTCCTCCTCCTCCTCCTCCTCCTCCTCCTCCTCCTCCTCCTCCTCCTCCTCCTCTCCTCCCTCCCCCCCCCCCCGTCCGCCTCCTCCTCCTCATCCTCCTCCTCCTCCGCCTCCTCCTCCTCACTGCCTCAAGACAACCCAAGAAGGCCCCTAGACGGCCCAGGAAGACCAGCCGAAGAGAGCCCCAAGCTGACCAGAGAGAGCCTCCAGAGGGGCCCAAGACGGCCTCAGAGAGCCCAGTCGACGGACCATGACGGCCCAAAGACGGCCCCACACGACGGCCGCTAGAGACCCCCCGACGGCCAATAGAGCCCCAGGTCGGCCCCCTGAAACGGCCGACATGAGCCCCAAGACGGCCCACAGTGGCCATGTGGAACCCCGAGGCAGTCCCACGGGAGCCCAAGAAGGAATGGAAGAACAGAAAGAAGACGGTGAAGACGGGAAGGGTATCGCCGACACGACGCGGAAGAATATGTCAGACGCTTCGGGTCTCCCGTTCCTCCGGACAAGGCGTATCACACGGTACGGGCACCTGGGCGCCCAAGTCACAACCCATGGTGCCAGGGTGGCACGGCGGCTGGAATTGCCGCAAACAAATAGATATGAAAAAAAAGAATTGCTGACTTCGCACAATGCACAAAGCCGCTCTGCCGACGCAATGCAGTTCACCACCTGCGAACTCCATTCGGCACTCTAACATTCAGGGCCGCTCCGAAGGCGCGCACTGTTGCCCGCAAACTTGTCCTACCACGCCGAAGTTCCGTACTCCCCCGTTGATACGAAGAAAAACAATCGCGCCACCGTTGTGCGCTGCGAAACATAAATAGGTCCTAAAGAGCGGTCCGTCCATTGCCTGTTCTGAAAACAAGAGTTTCTACGCTCCCCTGAACACTGCTGCCAACACGTGTTCTGGCATCTCTGGCATCGAGTAGGTCGAGGCGCGAGAAATCCACGTACTGATGGCAGGCTGTTGTAAACCCAGTTCGAATACTCTGGCAGCCATTTCAGGCGCAAGGTCTGTGCCCACGCCTGAAAAGGGGCGAGGGCCTCGGGGGGGGGGGGCAGTAGCGAAAGCCTCGCACTGTGAGGAGGTCAAGGTGTTGCGCCGCGCGCGGGCACGCGCAGTGGCACTTGGCGAGCACCGTCTCGGCGTGGACTTTAAGGCCCGAGCCGAGCTGTCACTTGTCCTCCGCGCGACGCTGCCACGACAGAGGCCTGCCAGCGAATATGCTCACAATCGGCCAATGGCGTAAGCATCTGCACTGCAGACCGTTAGTCGCGCCTGTGTAGTCCACTTCCATGGGCACTGGATCAGGCAGCGGGGGCGGAGAGGTGGCGGCGGTGGCGACGGAGCGTCGGCAAGGCGCCGCCCCCGAAGCTGAGCTTAACGATGCATGAAGCCGAGATGCAATGCTCGCAACTCAACTCGACGGCGGATCTGCCCTGACTTCCTCCTTTGCTTGTCTGGGAAGGGCCTTCCGGCGACCGTGACCTTCATCAGCTCTAGAACTAACCTCCTGCGCGTCCACCTTGGCGGCTGCATCGGAGGACTCTTTGAGCAGGCCTGTGTTGTACGCCAACACGCCTTCTTCGTGCAACATCGCGTAATTCAGCGACTCAAATGCGTCAAGTCGTGCCGTGACGCGCTCCCCGCGATGCGTGACGTTCAGCTTGCATTATTTGCAATGCGCTTCAACAGGTTCAAAAGCCAAGGCATATACTTCAATACATACATATACTGCGCCTGTTCGCGCGAGTTGGCTCCAAGACTCTCACCTACCCAGTACCATGGACTCGCTGACTTCGGCCAGCTTCACATCGATGCACTTCCTGGATACCTTCTTCGCTGCACCTGCCTTTGGTAGTACTTGATGCGCTGGATGTCGCACAGCGTATACTGCTGTATACATCACCGTGTTGTCGATGCCGGGCTTGGCTTGCACCTGGTAACCCTGTTGTGATGTGTCAGTTTGCTCCGTCACTTGGCTCTGCTGCGTCCTCCAGTCTGGCGCCCACGTTCTTGGCATCAGTAAATACCAGAACTGCTTCTTGCGAGCCAAAGAAGAGAAGCATGAGCGATGTCATCTTCGTGTCACTGGAGTGACGGGCGCTCAATAATTTCTTGCCCTTTGCCAGTATGAGGAGAAGCCTGGCTTGGTCTCTCTGTCACCGTGCTCGGCGGTGCGACGCAGGTGAAGGTCAATGCCGCTTCGGCGTCGGGGCACAGGCGAGACCCGCTTTGGTCGGGCTGTCTTGGGTGCGGCCCTGCAGCGCGGTCGGGCAGCTGCCTGCAGCAGCCGCGGGGCCGCGCCCTCCCTGCGGAAGGCCCGGTGACCCAGGCGGCAGGCGCGCGCCGCGAACGCTCCCCCCCACCCACGCCCACCACGTAGGAGAGGCACGGTTTCCGTTGCACCTCCTCCTCCTCCTCCTCCTCCTCCTCCTCCTCCTCCCCGTCCTCCTCCTCCTCCTGCCCTACGCGTGGGCACTGGGTACCGTATCCTGGTACTCAGTCTTCAAGTACAGGGCATACTATCAGGGCTGCCCGCTGCAGCAGGGCCTCGTTGAGTCGCCGACAGAAAGCAGGGTGGCCCGAAGGCCACCCCTTGCCCGAGCGGGCACGTTCTATGGATCTTCAGGATGGCAGAGCGATGACAGGTGACACCATCACGGGAGGTTTTCTGTCATCCCACGGAGGCTTTGAAAGGCTCGCGGCTGCAAGCCTGGAGCGACATTCTGCAGGGCCGGCTGCCATCATCTAACGAAGAAAGCGCGACAGTACCCATGGGCGCGCTGGCTGCGCCGCCCGAGGAAACGAGGGCACGCTGGGAAACGGCGCTGGGGAGCGTGCGGGCGAGCCTTGGCCAGGAATGGGGTTCCTGGGCCGCCTGTGCGCGCGGTTGCGGCCGCTGCTGGCCCCAGACAGCCGCGAGTGCCGCAGCCGGGGCCTGTCGGGGTCGCCAGCGCCGCGACGGAGACGGACTCGGAGCAAGTGGCCTTTGGCGCTGGGCCGCCCCGCGCTGCCGCCTTGCTGGCGGCGGCGGGCTTCGCCGAGTGGGCGGAAGCCGAGCAGCGCTGGCGTGCCACCATGGGGCGGCGCGCGGCCCAGGCTCGGTGTTGCCGCTGATTATTACTGCATGCTTGCGCTAGTTCCTTTTGTATGGTTGTGCCAGCTATTGGTTATATGGCAAGAGGGTTTGACACCCCAGGGCCCCCTAAGACGATGATGAAGAAGAATAGGTGTAGGAGGAAGAGCAATACGGTACACATGATACGGATGGAGGAATATTCAAAAATTGTAAAAACAATAGTATGGGGACGATGTTTGATTATTGCATAAGTATGTTGGGGTATGTGTTTGACTATCTTATTTCTGTCGCCCCAAATCCGCCTGCAGGGGGACGTGCCCGACCTAATAAGGATAGGCGCCGAGAACATTGACGACGGAGAAGACGAGATAAAACGCGATGCGGAAGAGGAGAAGGAGGAGGCGACATGTGGCGGTTTCGTTTGGGATGTGGATGGTGGGGAGTTCAGGCGAGTAAAAAGAGGAGGTGGATCTTTGACTGACGGGGATGACCTCAATCACAGCGGGAAGGAGAACGAGTAGGGAGGTTATCGTCTTTGAATTCCGAAGTGAAATCGGGCAATCGGGAAGACGGGTGAAGAGTAGCAAAACGATACCAGGCGCGACGAACAGACATATGATGATGATGGTGATGACGATGACGTTGTACTATGGTGATGATGGTGATGATGATGGTAACGATGCATACGACGACGTTCTTGAACGGGAAAACACACACACAAGAGGATGATAGGGCACTTGCGTGCGATGTCTCGTTTTCATGAGGGGATGGAGGAGGATGAGGAGGAGGAGGAGGAACAGAGTAAAACGAGGAGGAGGAGCAGGGGGATGAGGTGTAGGAGGTGGAGGAGGAAGAGGAGGAGGAGGAGGAGGAAGAGGAATAACAAACGGAGGAGGAGGATGGGGTGGAAGAGGTGGAGGAGGAGGAGGAGGACGAGGAATAATATCCGGACGAGGAGGAGGAGGAGGAGGAGGAGGAGGAGGAGGAGGAGGAGGAGGAGCAGGAGCAGGAGCAGGAGGTGGAGGAGGAGGAAGAGGAGGAGGAGGAGGAGGATTGCACGCCATTGAGGGGAAGAGAGTCTAACAACCTTAGAAGGGGCCGGTCTTCAACCGACCTTTTGTCACCTTTTGTGCGGCTTGGGAGGAGGAGGAAGAGGAGGAGGAAGAGGAGGAGGAGGAGGAGGAGGAGGAGGACTGTAGACTGTACAAAAACGATGTCTTCCCAACAAGCAAACCAAAGAACGGTGAGAAGACCACGTCGGCCGTGACTCGCTGCCCGCACGACACGGCTCGGTGCGTAGGGTGGCATGGTCCCCTGAAGCCTTCACCGTTATTTCAGTTCCTCTTCCAGGGGAACCACGACCAACCCTGCCGAATCGAGCGGCATGCGCATCTGGACTGAACGAATACGACAAGCCCAGGGCGGGTGGACACAAGGTCTCATGGGGTTCACGGGCCACACGACCCCACCTCCCGACCAAATGCGCAATCCCCGTGCCTGGTACCCACCTCCAGGCCACGGGCGCAGCTAAGGCGCCACATGCGGACAAGCTACCTGCTTGCCGCTGGTTCCGAAAATATGACCCGGTTGCTTCTCTCCTTGCCCCTGCAGTGCCCAGGAATGGCGGCCTCACTGCCCGAGACCATCCCAGGAGACGGCCCCAAACTCCAGGACTGCCCCAAGACTTTCCCACGACGTCACCAAGACTACTTCAGGCCCACGGCCACAAGACGCACCGAGGCATGCGTTAAACCTACAAAGCAAGTCCCAAGAGCCCATGAGGCCCCTAAGTCTCCCGAGAGGCCGCCAGGAGGCCTCCCAACAGCCATCGCGCCAATCATGCAACGCTACCGCCGTGCGACCCAGCAGCGCTGCTACACGGCGCGATGGCGTAGATGCCTTGCGGCACAAGTGGGCATAAGGACTGTGCGAACACTTCTCCGAAAAAGGCAACACATCTGAATGAGCCAAGAGTCTCGACTCAGCTACTGCCCGTACGCGAAGGATTGTCAGATTGAGGTCTCCGTTGGATAGCGAACTGGCCCACAAGACGGAATCCAAGAAGTAACGGACACAAGCAATCGGACAAAAAGACAATCCTCAAGCGAGCTGCGTATAAGAGAGTTGGCCCCACTCACGATCCTCTCTCCTGCATGGGGCACCGTCTGAGTGTGGATCACCATCGGCGTGATCGAGGACGGCCACTTGCCCTTCGTCGGCGGCTCTACATTGAGAACACGTGCTGAAGCCTTGCGTACCGATATGAAGAGAAACAGGCAAGATGGAATATCAAGCCATCAAAGGAGCAGCAATATCGTTGGAGGTCGGCCACTCATCGGAGAGTGTGAAGACAGCTTCTGGAAGGGGACTGGAGGGCACCAATCCCTTCCACAGCGTCTTCAAGAATGGTTGAGACCAAGCACGCGTGAGACACGCATGTGTAGGTATGGGTATGGGGATACGTTGCTGTACCTGCATTGTACATGCAGGTGCACGCAATTGTGTAGATTGCATGTCTATGTATGTGTACGCGTCTGTATGTATATGTGTGTGCGCAAATGTATATGTGTATGCCTAGGTACTTGTGTATGCCTCTCTATACATAGGTACCTGTATATGCTTGTATATGCCTATATCTATGTATATGTATGAATATATGTTAACAGCGCGAGAGCGGACAACAAAGAACTGTTCTGGCAAAACCGGCCCACCATTCGGCCCCTGGCCCGCGCAAACGGAACCACAGCGGAAGCGGTTCCGCGTAGGGGTGCTGTCACCAACGTCTAGTAGCTCGTTCCCTGTGGCTGTTGCTTAGCCTTCTTACGGGCAGCCTGCTCGCCAGCGGGAGGGAACAGCCGGAGACTCAGCACCCCATCCTCTCCCTCAAACTAGAATGCTCTGCTGCAATGGGGGGGGGAAGGGGAGGGGGCGGGGGTGGTAGGTCGGAGGGGAGGAAAGAGGAGAGGAGGAAAAAGGAGGGGGAAAAGGGAGGGAAGAACAGGAAAGAGGGACATGTGGATTGGGAGGGGGACGGGGGCAAGGGAGGGGGGGGCACTGTTAGACCATACGCACTAGAATATCGCAGCGTGCATGATGCGCCCCAGCCCTGAAATCCTTGTGTCTGGCGTGCCACATGCACACAGAGCTTCAAATCCCAGCTCGTCGACATAGCGTGGCGAGTGTGCCGCGACCTTCGAATCCAAGTGTGTCTTGTGTGCCTGGACCTTCACATACCTATACGACCACCCTTCGGGTGATAAGGAGGTTGTGGGGGGGGGGAACCAACATCTGACTCGATCGATCTCACTATCGATCTCACTCAACGGGACACCACGGGACACCACGGGACTCCGCGGGACACCACATCGATCTCACTATCGATCTTACGATCGATCTCACTATCGATCTCACTCAACGGGACACCACGGGACACCTCGAGACACCTGTCGATCCCACTATCGATCTCACTATCGATCTCACTCAGCGGGACACCACAGGACACCACGGGACACCACGGGACACCGCCGGGACACCGCGGGCCCCGTCCCAGCCACCGGCGGACGGGACACCACGGGACACCACGGGACACTGGCGAGACACCGCGGGCCCAGTCCTAGCCGCTGGCTGCTGGGCGCATGGACTTTCGCTCCTCCTTCGGCACACCTACAGGAGGATCACGCGCAGCTTCGCCTCGCCCGCACGCACGACACGAACACGAAACCGAAACCGATTTCCCGGTGGTGGGTCTCCGTTTCACTGCGATCTCACCCCCCAACCTCCGATACTTTGCCTAGCATGCTACGTGTGCCTGGGCCTTCACATCGCAGAGTGCCTGTTTCGCCGACGCATGCAAATTCAAGTGAGATTGGTGTGTTGTGTGGTTCAATAGGCTGCAGATCGGTTTGCGCAAACGGGCCTGTAAATCTTACAGCCTCGGGGGTGGTGATTATTTGCGCAAGCGTGGGGGACCAGGCCGACATGCATTCATATGCGATGCGATACAAGAAGCGGCAAATACACAAACCCAACGCACCATCGCAGCCTCCTCCAGAAAAATTGAACAGCACCCTCCCTTGCCCCCCCTCCACCCACCAACGGTCACTTCCGGCCCCTCACGCTCCATCTGCGCGGCCGGTCCTGGTACCACTGCGAATGCGGCTGCGGGATGTCCTTCGCCTCGAACTCCCCGAAAATTCTGCCCAGGTGGCAGTTTGTGAAGAACGTGTCCTCCTGACGCCACGCGTCGAAATAATCATCGCCATCATCATCTTCGCCACACCATGATCACCATCATCATCGTCATCATCAGTCCCACCAATACCGCCATCGTCACCGACACTAACACAAGCAGCTTCAGCATCATCATCATCATCAACATCATCATCACCACCATCAAAATCGTGATTCTCATCACCATCATCATCAGCACCACCACCATCATCAAAATCTCAATTGACCAAATTCCCAAATCGTACGCAATTATGTCACGCTGACGCCAGGTGCAACATGTCTGTCCATCCGACATCATGCTCGTATTTCGTGGTTTGGGTAAACGCTCTACTTCGATGTTCAATTTCCAGCAAGAGCGGTTCCCTGCCCACTTGCTCTTGTTTCCCAAGCCGTAATCCCCGTCCAGCATCTAAGACCGCCCCCCCGTTATTTTAGCACCGCAAAACGAACATCCGTTGGGCGATTTTAGCGGAAGGATAACTTTCGCACTGTGCCAAACAGCCAAAAATGCCGCCCATCCCAGGCTCGTTTCCAAAATTTAGCTCTCGTCTTGGCTCCGCGCACAGTCGCTATCTAAGCTCGCACGATCTTCACGGATTGATGGCGTGTCGGTTTCAGACTATAGCTCTCGCCCCAGCGCCGCGCACATTCGGTTATTAGAATACGCACGGGTTTCACGGATTGAAGGCGGCCGTTTTTCATTATCTGACTCTCGCCTTAGCGCCACGCGTAATTGCTAAAAATCGTGCACGAGCTTCACGGATTGAGGGCGGCTCGGTTTCAAAATGTAGCTCTCGCCTTAGCGCCGCGCACGCTCGTTTTGTAAATGTGTACGGGTCTCACGGATTGAATGCGGCCTTTGTTTAACTTCAGCTCTTGCCTTAGCGCCGCGCCGCGCCGCGCACGTTCTTTTTTATGCACGAATTTCACGGATTGAAGGCGTGTCGTTTTCAACGCCTCGCTCTCGCCTTAGCGCCGCGCGCACTCGTTCAAAACAAATGTGCACGGGCTTCACAGATTGAGCGCGGCCCGTTGTTTCAAAATCTAGCTCCGGCATTAGCGCCACGCACACTCGCTGTTAAAACTGTGCACGAGCTTCAAGGACTCAGGGCTCTTCGATTTCAGACTACAGCGTTCGCACTATCGCTGCGCACGTTCGTTTATAAGATGTGCACGGGCTTCACGGATTGAAGGCGGATCGTCTTCAACACATAGCTCTCGTCTTAGCGCCGCGCGCACCCGCTCAAAAAAACACACGAGACTCACGAATTGCACGCGGCTCGGTTTCAAAATGTGGGTCTCGCCTTAGCGCCCCGCACATTCGTTTTTTTTGTACACGATTTTTACGGACTGCAGGCGGCTCGCTTCTTGTTTGTAGTCCACATATACATATACACGCACTGTATATACACAATAAACCATCTCGCCGCAAAGCCGCGCACGCTCGCCATAAACATTTGCCCGAATTACGCGGGTCGAACGCGGCTCGGTTGCAAATTCAGGCGCTCGCCCAAGCGCCGCACACACTACATACATATAAATATATATATATAGATATAATGCACGAGTTTCCAGGATTGAAAGCGGAACGTTTTCAAAATCTGTTTCTTGCCTTAGCGCCGCGCTCGTTGGTCTTTGAACATGTGCACGAGTTTCACTGTAGAGGGCGGCTCAGTTTCAAAATCCAGCCCTCGCCTTAGCCCCGCGCGCATTCGTTTAAAGCTCGCTTACACGAATTGAAGGCGGCTCGTTTCTTCTTTCTATATGTTTAAGTATAGAAGATGAAAAGAGAGAAACAACAACAACAACAACAACAACAACAACAACAACAGCAGCAGCAGCAACAACAATAACAACAACAACAACAACAACAGCAACAACAACGACAACAACGCCACACCAACAATAACAACAACAACCACAATAACAACAACAACAACAACAACAACAACAACAACAACAATAGACAGCAACAAACGCTCTCGCCGCAGCGCCGCGAAATTTGCCCGAGTTTCACGGATTGAAGGAGGCTCGGTTTCAAAATCTAGCTCTCGCCCAAGCGCCGCGCACTTTCGTTTTGGAAAAAGTGCACGAGGTTCACGGGTTGCAAGCGGAACGTTTTCAAAATCTACCTCTTGCCTTTGCGCCGCGCTCATTGATTTTTAAGCCTGTGAACGGTTTTCGCGGATTGAGGGCGGCTCGGTTTCAAAATCTAGCTCTCGCCCTGACGCCGCGCACACTCGCTATAACAACTGTGCACAAGTTTTACGGATTGAAGGCGGATCGTTTTTTAACTCTAGCTCTCTCCTTAGCGCCGCGCACACTCGCTATGATAATCTAACCAGGTTGCACGGGTTGAGGGCGGCTCACGACAACGGCAGCCCCGCCTTCGTCTGAAGAGGTGCACGTCTGAGAGCACGGCTGTCTCAGGAAGTCCTAAGCACTGAAAGCCGTTCTTCGGTAAAGTACTGAAAGCCGTTGCTCGGCTGAGCGTTGCAAGCCTTCCCCCCTGTCCCCCTTCTACTCCTCCATGTCCTCCTCCTCCTCCTCCTCCCTGTTCTCCTCCCCCTCCTCCTTCTCCCCCCCCTCTCCCTCCTCCTGGCTGCGTCGCTGACAATGTTGCCTTGAACTCTCTGAAAGCGTCTTGCATGCTTCCTGAGAGCATTCTTGAAACTTTTCTCAGATCAGCTGAGGTGAGCTGAGCTCATAGCGGTCTTCCCAGGCCGAAGCAAGACGAGTGGACAAGATCTCGATCTGGTCTACTTTTATTGAGAAACAATCGTACGGAGCACATCCCGATCTAGTCCAAACGGACTCGTGAAACAGTCCATACAGGCTTACCCCGTTCGAACCAGATCGCGATCTAGCCTGAAACGAATCGAGACTCAGGTAGTTCTGCTGGACCCTGTGCCTGCCCCGCGCGCGCCGGGCGCCAGCCTCGACGTCTCGGATCAGGGTGTTCTTGGCGTCCATCACCACGTAGTAGTCGGACTTGACCTCGGCGGGAGGGGCAGGAGGGGGGCCCTGGAAAGTCCTCCCGCCCTCCCACCCGAACCTCCTGGACCCCCAGGTGCCCCTAGGACCCCATGGGCCCCCTCACAACTTCTGGACTTGGGACGCCCGAAATGGGTACGGAAAAAATGGGTACACTGCCCAACAACAAATGTTGTCCCAAATCAACAGCGGCCGCTGTTGGGCAGGCGGCCTTGTCTCGAATGGACACAGGCCGCGGCGGCGCGGACAGCGAGTCCTGTTCAAAATGAACAGGAACCGCTGTTGGGCGTCGTGCCCATTCTTTCCGTACCCATTTCGATCGTCCCGATGGACCCTTTCTCGGCCTTTTACCTCCCGCCTCCCCCCCTCCCCTCCCCGCCCGCGAGGAGCACCAGGCCCGTGCTCTGCGGACGGCCCCAGGAAGCCAGCTCCTCCATCGGGGCCTCTTCGAGGATACCTCGCAGGCGTTTTCGCCTCCTTTGCTTCTTCTTTTTTTTGTTGCCATCTGCTCTCTCTCTCTCTCTCTCTCGAGGCAGAGGTTCATACGGAGCACAGCACATCGCTCATGCCACGGTCCGCCGACGACCCTCCTCGAGATTTTTGAATCGGCGATAACCCGGGTTATCCTGGGGGGGGAGGAGGGAGCCGGCCGATAAGCTAACCCTCGCGCTGTGGGCAGCCCTGCATATGCCCGCGCCCGCCCTCCCGCGGACCTGCACAACAGGCAAGGTTAGGTTATCGATGTGTGGGAGGGGGAGCGGGGGCAAGCCCGATAACCGGGGTCATCGCCCGACCCTAACAAAAAACAGTCTTTTCCTCGGCCTCGTCCCTCCTCGGCCCCGCCTTCTGGCCGCACCGTGCGCTGGCTGCTCTGGCTGCTCTGGCCAGACGCTGGCCCCTCGAGCAGACGTGAGCCCGGCCGCCCCCGCTGCCTATGCGAAGTGGGGGCCGGGGGACCACTGGAAGCAAAAATCGGGCCGGGCGAAAGGGGGGGATAGCAAAGGGGGGGGTTGAGAATCAGCTCGCGTAGCCGATTTTCCCGGCGCCTCCCAGCGCTGGGAGGCGCCCATGTATCGAAGAATGGGCCCGGCAGCGGGGCCGAAACCAGCTGCATGCAGCAGAGTTCGTAACCCCCCCTTTCCCTGTCCCCCCCTTTCGTTCGGCCCGAAAAAACTTGCAACGAGCTCGCTGCAGAAAAGAAGCAATCGGCTCCGACCAGACAAGAGGCCCGAAGAGGCCGCCACGAGTCCCGGGAGAGGCCCCCAGAGGGCCCCCAGAAGGCCTCAGCCGAGGACTGCTGCCCTCTTCTGGGGGTCGGCGGAATGGCGTAAGCCCCATGAGCCAGCGCCGACCAGGCAAGACCAGACCAGACTCCGACACCTCTTCAAAACACACGGTTGCGGAAGCGCCTCCCAGCGAGGACGGTAGCGGAGCTGCAAGACCGCTAGCGCTCTGCTGGTCGATCGACAGCTTGCCGATCCGTCTGCGTCTTGGACCGTGCCAGCGTCGCTTGGCGAAGGGCTCGCCGTGCTCGGGGCCAGGTGGACAGCTGCGCATCCACTTGCATGAGCTACCGTCGATAGTTTCCTGGGAAGCGGTGGGGCCCCTGGGGAGGGGGAGCGGACAAGGCGTAGGAGGATGAGCTGGCCACCCCTGGACCAACACCCTTGGCACACAACGGCAACGGACGAGGATCTTCCAGCGACCGTCGTCGGAACAGCTCTACAGGATGCCTGAGCTGGGCTCAAGACCAGCAGCGTGAACGACAAGTCTTGCAACAATGAGGGCCAGCGCAACGTTCAGAGTCCAGCTCGTCAAGAATAGACTTCCAGATTCACAGGCATGGCCGTTCGCGCCCCCAGGCATGGCAGTTCACGACCATAGCGATGCATTTCGGTTTGTGTCCAGACAGAAGGCCTGGAAAACTAAACGCGCTACGATGTGATGCAGCAGGAGTGAGAAGGATCTCACAGGGAGGGCAAGAGTCCCCACATCCCCTCGAGAATCCTGGCGGCGCCGCCACTCGAAACGGCTACGAAGCCCATGCACTTTGATGTTCCTCCCACCTCCCTCATCCTCGTCGACATCGTCCTCCTCCTCCACCTGACGCTCAGCTTCGCGTTCCTCCTCCTCTTTTTCATGCCCCATCGTCCTCATTTGCGATTTCCCGCCCGTTCCCCCGTCCTCCTTCCTCGTTCCCCCTCCCATCCTGCGTCCTCGCCCTGCTCCGCCCCCGCCCTCATCCCTCGTGCGTCGCGCAGCTTTCGTCTGACAGCGGCGGTCTCGCTTCGATGCGCGCATGTTCCACTCGCCAATGTGTCGCCCTCGCCCAAACTCCGTGTGCAATTCGCTCGACGTGGCAGTCCCGTGCGAGCGCGGCGCACGGCTCGTTCGCCGAATCGCATGACAGCGACAGCGGGGCCGCACGAGAGCCGACGAAATGCCAACCTCACCCAAACGCCGCGCAGTTTCCAAGCGTAAGTGGCTATGTGGATACGCTGTGTCAGCGCGGCGCATGCTTCGTCTTTGCCGCGGCCCATCCAAAGTTTTGCCGTTCCCGCCCCTGCGCGGCCCGCGTAGTTTTCCATTCGCCAAGTCGTCGAAAACGAGGCCGTGCGCGAGCGCATTCCGTTTGCTAGGTGGGAACACATTCCAATACGAATGCCAAAGTGTACCACAATTGAAATTTGCGTTTTGGGGGGAAGCGCGGGAACAGGCGGGGCCCTCTGACTCGCTCGACCTGGCAAAGTGTATAGTTAGGGTTACTCTGCCTCCTAGCCGGCCCATAGCCCCCGGATGCGGGACCTCCCGTCTTACGTGCGAAACTGCCACACAAAGTAGACGTGTTTGTGGTCTCAGCATGGACGTTTTGTCGCCCACTTCGCAGAATGCTTGTCAGGAGCGGGACGCGGCGCACATCCCGCGCGAAGGGGCGAAACGTCGCTCTCGCCTCGGCGCCGCACTCGCTTGCCCGGAGACTTGATCTCTCGCATGGGCGCGGCGCACATTTTTCGCACGCCAGCCCTCACCTCTCCCAGTGTCTAGGATCGTCGCAGGAGCGTTTTTTCTGAAACTTTCTTTTCACTGGGGTCGGGGCTTCAGTTGACGCCGGGGGCAGTTCGCGCGGCTCGCAACATAACAACGCGATTCAGCGCGCGCGGGGGCGCACGCGGGCACTCAGAAGCGCGCAGCTACTGGGGGAGACGCCCGCAAGCGGCCATGCGAGACCACGGGCGCTCACAGGCACGCGGAAGCACTGGCAAGCACTCCCTCGTGTTTACATCTTCCCAAAAAGGTTGGCGAGACCTTCCACGCGTGCCCACGAGCACCCACAACTGATCACGAAGCGCCCGCGGGCGGTCGCAGTCGCGGGCACGCGCCCAAAGGCGGCCACACAAGCGCAGAAACGCCCGCCGAAACCTTCCCCGTATGCACTGCTCCGCAGGCACTCGGAGGCCTCCGCCCAGCGTCGCGACCAGGGGGCCACGTAGTGAGTCGGGCGAATGTTTCTCAGCCTTGCCGGTCGCCCTCGGCATTCCTGCGCGCGCTGGCAATCGGCGTTTTTTTTACAGACAGCTTCCGGAGGCCCATTGACCCCCAACGCATATTGAACTTCTGATGAGGGGGCCTGCGCGTGTTCCAACATTTACAAGAACGTTAGGTCGCAGAGGGGGGGGCATGGCCACAGACGGCCAACAATAGATGCTTGGGCCTGCGAGTTAACATATATTATGCATGGGCAAGATGACGCATACGCCAGTATAGAGAAATATGTATGTATGGGCGGGCGTACATAACGATATGCACGGACCAGTGTAGCACGACAGCTGCGCACAGGTGTATCCAGAATGTGGCGACATTTTCCCAGCCGCCCATGTACGCAGAGGGCCTCGCTCGGGCATTGCCTTTTGGATGAGCACTGCCTCGCGGGATTCTCGTGTGGCTTTGGTAGGCTCTCACGGGTCTCGTGGGGTTCGCTCGTCGGGCTCTCACGTGTCTCGCGGGGTTCGCTCGTCGGGTTCTTCGGGCTCTCACGGCCTCGGAGGGCTACAACAAGACCCCCAAAGGGCCCCAAGAGGGTTCCAGATGGCCCCAAGAAGGGCACATCAGGACCCCAACAGGGCCATATGAGGGTCCCAAGAGGTCCCCAGAGATGTGTCACGGCCGTGAAACATCCCCGGGGCCCTCTCGGGGCCCTCTTGGCCCCCCCTGGGAGCCTCCTTGGGCCCCTCAAAGACGGCGGCAGAGGCCTCAGGAAAAATCAAGAGAGGTCTCCAAGAAGGCCTCAAGAGGCCCCCAAGAAGGCCCACGGGATTATGTACCACAAGGGGGTCGGTTGGTAGATATTCCTGGGCACCTCTTGGAGACATCTGCGGTGCTCTTGGGGGCCATCTGGGGGCCCCAGGGAGCCTTGTGGGGCCCCTTTTTCCGGCCCTCCGAGGCCGTCTTCCCTCCTGCCTCCTCCTCCTACTTTATCCTGCTTCCTCCTGCAGCACCCATCCTTTGCATCCTCCTCCTGCCTCCCCCTCCCCCCCCTCCTCCTCCTCCTCCTCCTCCTCCTCCTCCTCCTCCTCGCCCTCCTTCATCCTCTCTTGCACCTGCATATTATTATTCCTCATCCTCCTCCTCCCTCCTCCTTTTCCTCCTCCTCCTGCCTCCTCCTGCCTCCTCCTGCTCCTCCGGCTCCTCAGGGCAACAGGGGCCCCGGAGCATTCAGAGGGCCGTTGGGGTCCGCACTGCGCTCCCCACTGCACTCCCCACTGCACTCCCCACTAGCGCCCCACTAAAGACTGTCACAGGGTTCGTGGCCATGCCGATTCGGCTTAAAGTCGAGTGCCACAGTCGAGTGCGAAGTCCCGCTTAAGATTTCTCGTGGGCTCGTTGGTGGGTTCGCTAATGGGCCCCTTAGTGGGCTCGTTTGTGGGCTCGTTAGTGGGTCGTTAGTGGGCCCCTTAGTGGGCTCGTTAGTGGGTCCCTTAGTGGGCTTGTTAGTGGGTCCCTGAGTGGGCTCGTTAGCGGGCTCGTTGATGGGTCCCTTAGTGGGGGCGTTCGGGGGTCCGCTCCTAGGTCGTCCGTGGGCGGCCTCCTGGAAGAGCCTCTTTGTTGCCTGATGGGCTTCTTGAGGCGAGCCCTGAGTGACTTCGCCCAAGAGAGTCCGAAAGGTTTCAAGACCCACCGATGAGAGCCCAACGGAGAGTTCGAGAGCCCGACGGAACCCGACGGAGCCGGAAGGAGCCATACGGAGCCCGACGGAACACGACAGAGCTCAAAAGGGAAAGGAAAAGGCGACAGGATGAGCCCGACGAAGCCTGACATAACCCGACTAGAGGAGGGAGGAGGACAAGGAAAGGAGGAGGGGGGATGACAAGGGGAGATGAGGAGCCCGACGGAGCCCAATCGAGCCCGCAGGAGCCCCACGAGAGCCTCGCGAGAACCCCTGGGGGATCCCGGCGAGAGCCCCACGTGAGCCCCACGAGACCCCGAGCGAACCCCGAGGAACGCCCAGCGAAATCCTTGCGGGGAACCCCATGAGAGCCCCGCAAGAACCCCGCGAGAGCCCGACAAGCGAACCCCACGAGACCCGTGGGAGCCCAACAAAGCCCCACGAAAACCCGCGAGGCAATGCCGGTCCCAAAGACAGTGCTCGAGAGAGGCAGGCCACGTATTTTGACGGTCGAGTCATCGTTACCACAAGTTGGATGCACTTGTGCATCGCTCTCGTTCTTCAATGGCCCATGCACGTGTTTTTCGTTACCCGTCCATGCATGCATATTTCCATATGCTGGCCGATGCTCAATGTCGTGTTCTAAACCGTTTAAGGTTCACATGGTCGCACCTTGGCCCATGCATATATTGCGCACGTCTGCGGCGAAGGTCCCCTTTGCAGCTTAACTGTTATACATGTTGAAGCACCCGCAAGTTCCTTAATCGGCAACGCAATTTGGGCCGATGGGTCGATGGGCCGTCGGCAGTCGTCTGCAGAAAGCACCCCCTGTCAGCGCGCGCAAGGATGCCGAGGGCGACTGACATGGCCGAGAAACACTCACCCGACTCACTATGTGAGCCTCCCGGGCACGACACTGGGAGGAAGCCTCCGAGTGCCTGCAGGGCGGCGCATGGCAATTTGTGAGCGTTTGACAGTAATGGCCACCTGTGAGTCTTTTGCGATGTCGGGAAGGCGTTGGCGGGCCAATTCCAAACCGCGCCAAAATAATGACCACACGTTTAAGACGACTCCGCCGCTATCATGCAACGCGCATGCCGTTGGGCATGCACCGGGCCCCGCCCCGCGCAATCGCCATGGCCACGAACCATTCTGGCGAGATGCGCAACCATGGGCATACGCGCGCCCGCGATTCAGCCACCCCCCTCGAGAAGGAGGGGGCAAAACCATAGCGCCCGAATCCAACAAAAACGGCAATGAGCAATGAGTTCGGAGCGCGAGTCCAGCGCGCGCCGCAAAAACGAAACAAGAAAAAACAAAAAAACAACAAAAAGAGTATGAAAAACACCATTAGTGGATCCTAGCCTCGGGGAGAGCTGACAGCCCGTCGACGCGCGAGTGGAGGAAGCTGCCGCTCTCGCCCCGGCGCTGGGCGGACTTCGCCGCAGCGGCGTTCCTGCGCCGCTGCGGCGCCTGTGTCTCACGCGCCAAGCTGTTGGGCCCCGCGCGAGCGGGAGGAGGCCTGCCGCCCTCGCCCGCGCGGGCGCGGCGCACGCCTCGCCTGCCGAGTCGCATGATGGAGGCGGCGGTGGCAGGGGGGCCGCGCGAGAGCGGGCGAAACGCTGTCCACGCCCTGGGGCAGCGAAGTATGAAGGGGCCCTGGGACACACAGATAAATACACACAAACAACAGGATTATCTGTATGTTCCCACGTGTGCTGGGTTGTTGTCTTCCCCCCCACTTCCCATATTTTCATCTTTTTTTCTGGGGGATCGACGATGACTTGTACCTGTGTGTTTTTTCCCCTCCTGAAAATAGCAGTGCTGTCTCGGCGCGGCGCACGCGCCTCGTCTGCGAGGCCGTCGTCGGAGGCGCTGCCGCTCCCGCCCCTGCGCGGCCCGCGCAGGCCTCCTTGTCGCCAGGAGGCCGTCGGAGGCGGGACCGCGCGCGAGGGCCTTGCGGTCACGCAGCGGGAACGCGCCCTCCAATCCCGATAGCAGGTTGCGGGAAAGGGCGGGGCGTGCATTCCTTCGACCCGGCGAACTGGACCGTCCTCAGCCTGTTCCTCCTCCTGCACCCCTGGACTCGTCCCAGTGGTCATCCCGCAAAAATATCGAACGGATTCTCCCAATTCTTCCGCCTTCTTCTCCTCCTCCTCCTCCTCGCCCTACACATGAGTTTCCTCGTCGTCCTCGCCAGGAAAATTTTGAAGGAGAGAGAATTCTGTGCGCCGCGACAGTCAGCAGCAGAATCCCCAGGGGTTGAAGAAGGACAAACTTCAGAGGAACAAGAAGCAGAGGAAGAACGGGGCTAGCAACAGCAACAGCTACAGAAAAGGACAAGGATAAGAGTAAACAGAAGAGGCAGAGGGATGAGGAACAGGAACCAAGTGAGCGTTGGAGGAGCAGCAGGAGCAGGAGTCAGACTGCCTGCGTTGCGCGTTGCGCCTCCATCGCCGACCGAAGAGAAACGCGGAGCAAAAGGAGATGGGCCACGACTGCGCTGGTCGTCTGCTGGGGACCCTGCCCGCGACGCCACCTTCAGCTTGAAGACCTGAAGTCCGCAAGAGGACAGAAGGGAGGAGGGATAACCGGAATGGATCGCACGGGGCTGGGGCGCACACTGTCTGACCCTTCCCCCTCCCCTCTCTGTCCCTCTTCCCGCCCCGCTCCCTGGCCCCCCCGTGTGCACCTCCTCCGCCCCCGCCCTGCCTCCTGAAGTCATGATGCAGCTGTGCCCAGAGACTCGAATCGGCAGGGTCTGAGAGAGGCGACTGGTCAGATGTTTGTATCTGGGACCTCCCCTTCCTCACCATGTAACAGAAATTGGCGAAGATGCGTTTACTCTGCTTGTCGAGCGGCCCAATCCTCACGCGCTCGGGCCCAGCGGGGGCGATCACTTCACTCTTCCTCGAGTTGACTGGCTGGGAATGCGATCCGACATCGATCACGATCCAAACGAATAAGACAAGGCCCATGTCCATGAATAACTCTCGTGCCCCACGTACCTATATATATATATATATATATATACAAGTGGCACGTGTGTGCCCAGGCTCATACAACAAGCTGACGGGGCGTTTGAAGCAGGAGTGACATGCAACAGCGAAGTCGCAGTCGAGCGCAAGTGGGGTTGCCACACCTTGCGATGTGTGTACCAGGGCCCCCCAGGAAGCCTCAGGAGGCCCGACTTGGATACCAGAAGAGGCTCCAGGAGGCCCCAGGGTTGTGAGTGTTGTGTGTGTGTGATGTGTGCTTTGTGTGGTGCGTGCTTTTTGTGTGTTGTCGGTGTTGTGTGTGTATGTTATGTTTGTCTAGCGTGTGATGTGTTGGGCGTGATTTGTGTCTCTGTGTGTGCATGTAGTTCTGAAGCCCCAGGAGGCCCCAGGAGGCCCCAGGCGGCGGCCTCAGCAGGCCCAGGAGAACTCCAGGAGGCTCCGAGGCGGGGTCTGGGGTACCAGAAGGTCCAGAAAGCCCCAGGAGGCCCCAGGAGGTTCCAGGAGGCCCCCAGGAGGCTCCGAGGAGGGGTCTGGGGCTCGAGTTTGGGAGGATTTGTCATGCGAAACCGCCATTCTCTGAGAATCGGGGTCAAAGTTATTGAAATTACCATGTGTTTTCGAAGGTTGTATGTTAAAATGTTGAAATTCCCATGTGTTTTTGGACCCTGACGTCACGATCTGCGTGAGGGGTGCCACCGATGTTCAGAATTTCGAGGATGTCCCGAGCGAAACGGCCAGAAAAATCGCGGACGCGTGCGCATGAATCGCCTCTGAGCTCTACTCCCTCGGAGAGGTGCGTATGAGAATATATATATATATATATATACACACATATATTACACATACATGTGACACGAGGTAAGGACATTATGCGAATTCGTGTATACATGTATATGAATACATGTACACCGATTCCCTAAGCTGTGCTTGCACTTAGGGGTTCATAATTCTCGTCGTAGGGAGCTGGGCCCCATTGTCTGCTCCGCCAACCTGCTGTAGCCGTCGCCGTCCCGTCGCCGCCAGTCGTCTGGGCCCCAGTGTCGGGTCCGCCGCCTTGTCGTCGCCGTCGCCGCCCCGTCGCCGCCTGGTCGCCGCGCGTCGTCTGGGCCCCCTTATTGGGTCCGCCGCCTCGCTGTCGCCGTCCCATCCGTAGTCTGGGCATTGCCTGGCTCTACCTTGCCATCGCTCGGACGTCCATTCCCCGTGCATTTATCCGTTTCGTGCGCTTTTTTATCCATCCAACGCATGTGAAGCTGTACACAGTTTTGACTCCACACGCTGGCGAGGCACTATCGCGTGAAGACGTCCAGGGGAAGAAAAAGACACAGGGGGGGGGGAAGGGAGGGATGGAGGGAGAGAAGACTCGAGGCACTTACAGCGGAGATAAAAGACATGGTCCCAGATAAGAGCGATGGCCCCTGGCTCGGGCCGGAAACAGATAGCACAGCGGGGCGGACATGCGAGCAGGTCGAACGATACGAGTCTACTTTGTAGACGCATCGGCGCCACGCAGGAAACAAGGGGTGGCAAGCAGAAAAGGACGAGGAAGAAGGGAACGCGGACAGAGGGGGCAGCCAGGCAAGCTGAGGATGTCTCAAGACCTTGTCAGCCCAAAGGATCCAACATCAATCACGCTGAACGTGGAACCGCGCGCTGGCACGTCGCAGCGAAGTGAGACTGTCAAGGGAAAGAGCTGCACCCCAATGGCAACTGAGAAACTGAAAAGCACATGTTACAAGAGACTGTCCACAAGTCCATGCCGTGTGGACAGTCTCCTGTAACATGTGCATATGTTTTGCAAGGTGATCCAGGATGCTCCTTGAGGGTCCTCGCAGAGAAAAAATGCAAACGTCCAAGCGGTGTCGAGCTACATTGCGTTGCGTTTCATTGCGTTCCGTTGCTTTGGACATATTTGCCGCCCGAGGCCTCCCACCCGGCCCGCGCTTCAGGGTCCGCCGGCCCCCATCCGCCCGTGATGGTCGCCCGATAGGACCCGCCCGTCGGACCCACCCGACCGCCTGTTGGGGTCTGCCTGCCCGACCCGTTTGTCTTCCCCAGCCGGGGTTCACGCAGAGGCTAAGATGAAACATGAAGCCCCCAAATGGGGGCTCGATGACAAACGAAGCGGGCGGGAGTCGAGGGCTTGGGGTATACATATTGACAGGCACACGAGCAACAAAGGACGAAGTGTGAAAAGAATGTGGTGGTTCTTGTCATTTGTCGCCTCCGCCCCCCGACCCTTCCAGCGACCCATGCGCAACCCACCACGCGTCACACCCGCGACCCACCCCGCGACCCACCCTGCGACGTGACCCACCCGCGACCCACGCGCGACCCACAGCCGCGATCCGCACCTGCGAACCACCGGCGACACACCCACCTTGTCTTGCAAAAGGACAGAAACCCGCTGTCTTTTTTCTTCGTGTATGCAAGATTGGCGCCAACGGCGGGCTCCTTTGAATTTGCATTCGAACATCGCGGGTCCGCTCCGCGACCAACCCATGTGTTGCAAAAAGATTGGCGCCTGCGGCGGTCTGCTTAACTACTTTGAAAAATCTGAGTCCGCGGCGGGTGGCGCTCGAGCCCGACAGCCCCGGTAAGACAGCCCCAGCGCCATGCGACTCTTAACCGCAACTGTGGGGCTTAGGCACCGCAGCGTGCATACCCAGACTGGGGGAGCTTGAGAGTGTTTCACTTCAGATGCCCCCCAAGTAGGCGGACCGTACATGGATGGAGGCTGCACGACACTGGGGGTCATGCGCACGCCATGCTGACCCCATAGCTTCTCAAGCCAACCTCTCGAGAACAGAGCGATGCAGGAGTGTCTGCACCTAGGGAGCGCGCCTGCTGCGCAAACCAGCCGCCCGCATGGCCACTGTTGACCTGTCCCGACACGTCCAGCAAGACCACCTCGTGGGAGTCGCCCACCGACGCGATGACCTCAGAAAGTGACGCAGACATAATCGCCCCGCTCTGATCTGCCACCCGATAGCACGCATCACGCGTTCTGCATGCCCCCTGGCACGCAGCGACAGCTGTAACGCGAGGCGGGCAAGCTGTCCTTTTGATAGCTTACCCAATCCCCCCCCCCCCCCCCGCCCTCGAGGCGCATCCATATGCTGACAAAGTCCCGTCTGTGGCTCCTTTCCATCGCTCTTAACAGGCCAGAGCAGTCCCGATAAGGCCTCAAGCGGGGCCCGGAAGGCACCAGGAGGCGCCGAAGAAGCCCCACAGATGCCTCCAACAAGCCCTCCAGAAGGCTCCTGAAATATCCCAGCGCCGTGCCACCGTACGGAGCGCCAACTAACGTTAGAAAGGGGATGTCCTGACCACGGCGAGCCTCGGCCACGAATAGGTTCCCCTGCCCTACCAAGACCTAAAGGACGGCCTGAAAACCAGAGCCCCTCCAGAACCCAACGAGATCCTTTTCTCAGCGTCTTGACTGCGACAAGTGGTCGTTTTGTTCATTCGGTGTTTCGACATTGGGCGGAAGGGGAGGGGAGGGGGGGGTCTGGCGCCGGACCTCTGCTTAGTACGACTGTTTGCAGTAGTGCGTCCTATGGGGGAGACTCCACCTGCTCGAAACAGGCGCCAAAAACAGCCATGATCTACTCCACGGGGGGGGGGGGAGGGGGGTTTACGAGGGCCGCGCCGATCGGCTAAACAATGAATAAGAAAACGCTCACACAGAAGCCACACGACGGCCTAACACAACCCCACGAGAACCCAAAACGGCTCGAACATGTTTTCTCTTCGACCCTCCCCGTCACGTCCTTTACGGGGGGAAGGGGGGAGGTCGGGCCCTGGTGGGCGTGTAACGGCAACGTGGTCGGGCCCTCGAAGGGCAGGCGCTGGACGACGACGACGACGACGACGCCGACGACGACGACGACCACGACAGCGACGACGAAGACGGAGACGACGATCACGACGACGACGACGACGACGACGACGGCGGCGACGACGACGATGACTACGACGGCGACAAAGACGTTGACGACGACGACGACCACGACGACGACGACGACGACAACGACGAGACGGGGACAACGACGACGACGACAACGCCCTGGAAGCGCTTTGACACGACGACAACGACGAGAACGGGAACGATGCCGACGACGACGACGACGACAACGACGACGGCGACGACGACGGCGACGACGACGGCGACGACGACGACGACGACCACGACGACGACGAAGGTCTCTGGAGGCCTAAAGAAGGCTCCAGCGACCTCTCGAGGTGTCTGGAGGCCGCTCGAGGCCCTCGGCGACGAAGACGACGAGAACGACGACGAGGACGGGGAAGGCGAGGCAGACGAGGACGAGGACAACGACGAGAAGGACGTGGACGGGGACGAGGACGAGGACGACGATGACGACGACGCCGATGACGACGCCGACAACGACGATGACGACGGCAACGACGACCACGACGGCGACGGCCACAACGACGACGGATGACGACGACGACGACGACCACGACCACGACAACGACGACGGCCACAACGACGAGGATGAATGAGAACGAGGGCGGGGACCACGACGACGACAACGACGACAACGACAATGACGACGACAACGAGACCGACAACGAAAGCAAGGAAGACGATGACGGCGAAGATGATAACGACGACGATGACGACAAGGACGAACGTGGGGACGACGACGACGACGACAAGACGAGGACGAGAACGAGAGCAAGGACGACGACGGCACCAACGACAACGAGGAAGCCAAACGACGACGACGACGAAGACGACGACGACGACGACGACGACGACGACGGCGACGACGACGCTTCTGACGGTCTCCAGAGGTCTCCAACAGGAAGCGTCTGCAAGCCCTTCGAGGCCCTCGGAAACGACGACGATAACGACGACGACGATGAGAACGTGGACGGGGGCAAGGACGACGACGAGCACGACGATGCCGACGACGACGACGACGACGACGACAACGGGCGCCTCTGAAGATTTAGAGAGTTCTCCGAAGGCCTCAGGAGATCTCCTCAGGCCTCTGGAAGCATGTGCAGGCCCTGGAAGCGCTTTGACACGACGACGACGACGACGACAAGAACGGTGACGATGCCGACGACGACGACGACGAAGACGACGACGACGACAACAACGACGACAACGACGACGACGATGACTAAGACGACAACAACGACGAGGACGACGACGACGACGACGACGACGACGACGACGACGACGACGACGACGGCGACGACGACGATGACTACGACGGCGACAAAGACGTTGACGACGACGACGACGACGACCGCGACGACGACGACGACGACCATGACGACGACGACGACAGCCGCATCTGGAGGCGTCAGGAGGCCCTCTGGTGCCTGTCAGCACCACACCATGCCCGTGAGCACGGCGCCATAGCTGTGGGGGGGGCCGGGACTCCCTCCCCATACGTTCGTTACCCTTACGGGGGGGGGGGGAGGGGCGACCCCCCCGAAACGGTTGCTGCGGGTTGCCCCAACAAATCAAAAACAAATTCTTCCCAACTTGCCCCAAGCGACCCAAAATACCCAAGTCAACGCAACGACCCCCAATGCGGCGTTAGGACTGCCAAAGACCGCCTTCAAAATTGCCCAGGACGAATCAAACGCGGCCCCCAGATGCACCCAACAATTTTCAAGACTGCGCAAGGACCCTCAATGCGGCGATAAGACTGCCAAAAACCGGCCCAATAAGGCTTTTAGATTGCCCATGACAACCCAAACGCGGCCCCAGATGCTCGCTAGACGGCCCCAAACCTTCCATAACTGCCCTGAGAACCGCCCAAACGGCTAGAAGGCTCTCCGACATGGCGTGGAGACCCCAGCTCCGAAGCGGCTCAGTGAGGCTCCCAAGCAACCCGTCCAGCAACCTACTGATCGATATTTAAAACACATGCCGATATCACATATCACGGCCCTCTGGACGATAGGCACATCGAACATCACATGCTTCGGCCTTCTCTCCAATGGGGAATCAAAGGGCTAAATAATACGGCTTCCTGGAGTCCAGCAAAGAGGCTTTTCACATGATAAGACTCCCTGGGCCCAGGGAATGACACATATCACACGGTACGGCATGTTCGAGCTAACGGAAGAGCGTGCCACATGTGACGGTCCTTCCAGAGCCCAAGGACGAGAGCTGTCAAATATTACGCCTCTGGGCTGCTGTTGAAGGGACGCAACACCGAACGCTGAACTGGCATGCACATTGGTACCTGGCCGTGTGTACCATAGCAGGAGCGCTGAACGAACGTACACATCGATACTCATGCTTCAGCAACGACGGCGGCAGCAACTGTTAAGAACTTGCATCAGATGAAGGCATCCTGCGACGCGAGATTGCTCTGAAATTGCTAACCCTCGTGGTCTTGGGCGCAGCCCGAATGTGTTATTGGGCGTAGCCCAGATTTGCCTCCGAGAGTGCGACTGACTAGCTTAGAAGACAAAACTGAACTGGATTGAGCTGCTCCCACTGAATAGCGAAAAGTATCAAGGTTCGGCAGCCCTCAGGTCAACCCACTATGTTAAATTCGGCACAGATATGACGCACAATTAGCAGGGCGCTAGTTTCGTTCGACAAACGCCTGAATTCGTGATGAGCGATGGTGCCCAAGAACACCGAGAGCCCAGAGTCCGTCGAGGAACAACCTGCAACAGATAGGCGAGTCAACGCACGAGGCCTTGGCTTGCTCAGAAAAGGCAACGCTTGCTTTCTTTCGAGACGAGGGTGAGGAGACGAAAAAAGGGCTTAAGAACTTGAAAACTACCACACGTGACAGCAAGCTCAGACCTTGCACTTGTACTCAAACATGGGCGGCGCCTTGGGTTCTGGAAACCTATGGCGCAACAGGTACCAAACAAGTGTCATGTTCGGCGGTCCTCGGTGCAACCTATGCCGCACACATATCAACCAATTGTTGATGTCGGCGGCCCTCGGCGAAACCCATGGCGCAACGAATAGGCAAGTGGTGTAAGTACCCTTGGCAGACGCGGAACCTATGGCGAACATAGGAGCAGACCGTATAAGTTTTGGCGGCCTGCGGCAGAACCGATGGCGCAACCACCAACAGACCATTCAGTTTCGGCGGCCATCTCCACAACTTACGGCGCCAGAAGCCCTCGGCGCAACCTACGGCTCCAGTGAAAATCCAGAAGTTTAGTTTTCGACACAAACTATGGCGCGGCCGACAGCCGACAGCTGATGGCACTCGGCGAAACCTACGGCGCTGCCAACACCAGCAGGCCCCTCAAGTTTCGGCGGCCCTCGGCGCCACCTGTGGCGCGGCAAAGAACACACAGTTGTCCAGTTGGGCCTCGTGGGGGGACGCCTAGAGGAAGAAGACAATGGGAACAGCGGGACAAAGACCGAAGGAGGACGGCGGAAGGACGTGTGACGAGGGACGGGGGCGGAAAAAGCGGGCAGCAGAGAAGAGACGATGAGGAGTAGGGTCGGGAGTCGGGAGGGAAGGGACGACGATAGCACGGCGCGATGCGCAGCAGAACATGAGACAGATGGAGTGCGCTTCAAGGGCGACTCTCTGTGACATGCATGGCAAGCCTTGTCGATCTGCGACTGGAAAGCCTCGGCGGGCTGCGTGGACACCTGTACGGGTGCCGCCGCCCCCGCTACCACCACGACGCGACGGGCATTTGCCACTTGGCTCACCCCTCCCAGTGCCACCATGATCGCATCCTTCATGCTCCTCCTCCTCTCTCTCAGGGCCTCCTCCTACGCCTCCCTGTCTCCTCACTCCTCCTCCACGGTCCACCTTCCTCCTCCTCCGCCTACTCCTCCAGATCCTCCTCAACCATCCATTGCCATGAGGAAGACCAATGGCGGAAGTGCCGCGGGGGTCGCAGAGAAGACGCCACCGCACGAAGAGAAGGAAGGCGGCGGGCTTTGCAGGACCTGGTTGCCCTTGCCCGCCCGCTCTATTCGGCGGCAGATGTATTCATGCCCCCACTTGGGCGTGGGCGTACAACATAAAATCCATCCGCCACGTAAAGAGCGCCTTCAACGGCGTCACACAGTCACACATGAATCCAGTCGCCTCCTCCTTCCTCTCGTCTCCCTTATCCCTCCCCCATGAAGGTTGGTAGAGAGAGCAGAGAGACGAGACTGGAGAGGAGAGCAGAGAGACGAGACAAGGCAAGGAGGGCGGATGTACGACGTCTATCCTCCGCCACCAGGTCTTTCTCATTATCATGCGTCTCCTCATCCTGGTCCTCTTTTACCCGCTGCTCTCCCCTCCCTCCTCAATGCCTCCTCTCTCTTGCTCCTCCTCCTCCTCCTCCTCCTCCTCCTCCTCCTTCTCCTCGTCATCCTTCCCCTTCAACGCTTCCCCCATCCCTTCTCAATCCCCCTGACCTCCGCAATCCCTCATTCATCCCCCCTCATCTTGCCTACTCCGACGCCTTCGATCGCCTCCCCGGAGGAAGGAGATGTGCACAGTTTCCCCCAGGGCCGTAGGCGACCCGAGGAAGAGGAGGAGGAGGAGGAGGAGAAGGAGGAGGAGGAGGAGGAGGAGGAGGAGGAGAAGGGGGGAAGAGGAGGCTGAAGAGGAGGAGGAGGAGTAGGTGGAGGAGGTGGATGATGATGAGGAGGAGGAGGAGGAGGAGGAGGAGGAGGAGGAGGGAGGAGGAGGAGAGGAGAGGAGGAGGAGAGGAGGAGGAGGAGGAGGGAGGAAGAGGAGGGAGGAGCAGGAGGAGTAGGAGGCGGATTAGAATGAGGAGGAGGGGGACCGGTCGCCAAAGCCCTTCGGAGAAACCGACGAGAGAGTTGTCAATGCCCCGCGCGCGGATAGAGACGTGCGCCCTTGACCCCGGTCGCCGCACGCGTCTCGATGTGCAAAAAAAAACAAGTCTCGAACCCTCCCGCCCTGCCCTATCTCCGAGTCCATCCCCTCCCCCTCCCCTCCCCTCCCCCTCCTTCCTTCTGAGGGAAGGCTCCCAAAGAAGGAGGAGGAAGGGGAGGAGGAAGGGGAGGAGGGGGAGGAGGAGGAGGAGGAGGAGGAGGAGGAGGAGGAGGAGAAGGAGGAGGCGGACGACGACAAGCATGAGGAGTATGACGCGTACGAAGGTGATGATGACGATAAAGAGGGGGCCACAGAGACGGAGGAGAACGAGGGAGAGGGGGCAGGGGGACACGCCGGGTGCACTCGCGCCAGTTCTGACATCCTACGCCTCCCGCCCATCCTTCCCATTGCGCTGATGGGTTCTCTTTCCGCGGACGCGTGTCACAGCGGGCCTGGAACTCCCAAATAGACCCCATCGTGTGATGTGCAAACGGAGAGGCTGAGGCGAGATCGTCATTCTCAACGACGGGAGCAAAGCGCCGATCCGAAAAAGAGGCCCACGCGGCAGCGGGAACACCATTCGAAAACAAGTGCATGGTGACACAAATAGGATGGTGAAACAAATAGGAAAATCACGTCCGCCCGATCCAATGAAAACACATCTAAAAAGAAAAAACTAAAAACACGGAGAGGGCGGGGCATCTTCCGGACAGAGTCAGGGAAGAGAGGATAATAGCAGTCATACTGTGAAATTGTCCGTGGGGGAGGAGGAAGAGAAGAAGGAGGAGGATGAGGAAGAAGAGAAGGAGGAGGAGGAGGAAAAGGAGGACGAGGAAAAGAAGATATCTGGGGGTACTGAACAAAAAAAGAACAGGGAGGACGAGTGGGATGAGGAGGGAGGGAGGACGGATGTAGACGGGGAGGAGGAGGAGGAGGAGGAGGAGGACGAGAATGACGAGCATAAGGACGTGAAGACAGGACTGGGGGAGGGGGGATGCGTAGGACGAAGATGAGCAGGAGGAAAGCAGGGAGGAGCAGAGGGGGGGGCGGAAGATGGGCAGGAAGATCGGGGGACGGGAACGTAGAGAAGGTGAACGGTTCGGACGGCCACCGATTACACCTCAGCCGTCGATGCCTGCACGCTGCGCGCCTCTCGCACCAGCTGAGCAGACGGGATTGGCAGCAGATGACGAGAACGACGCGGACGACGATGGGGAAGAGAAGGATGAGGAGGGGGAGGAGGAGGAGGAGGAGGAGGAGGAGGAGGAGGAGGAGGAGGAGGATAAGCATGTGGGGAGTGGGACGGGGTGAGCGGATTGCAAGACGTGGGGATACCTCGGGAGCGTGCGGGCAATGAGCGACAACTGCGGGCCGAAGGGAGGCTGGCGATGCGACAGAAACGGCTGCAGTGGCACCCACATCAAGATGATCCTGCCCAAGAGCTTGTGCGGGTCGTGGACCCCGATCGACGTCACCGTGTATCCAACCTTTTGCAGTGGCAGCTCGGCGCGAAAGGGCGATAGATACGCCAGGAACGAAAGTACATGCAGGAAGGAAGGAGCAGGAGCACGCGTGATGCAGGTTACTGAAGAAGTTGAACGCACAACTGACAGGCATCGGCGCGTTCGGTGGACAAGTCCGGCGACTCACCTGTACACGAAGTCCCTTTTCTACCTCTTCACATCTTCTGCTTCTACACTATCCTCCGTGCTGCCTCGCGAAATTATCCAGCCCTGGACGCGCGCCTTGCAGAGGTCTCGCTCGTAGAAAGGGATGACCACGTCTGGTGTGTCGCGCCTCGTTGGAGTGCATGGAGGGCAGGCCTGCATGTCTGCCTCCTTGGTGCCCCACTCAAGCTCGAAAGAGGGCGCTCCTGGCTGGGTCACAAGGCACAAGGGCTGACAGGAGCTATGCAAACAGAGGCCGGAGGCCTCGATGTCTATACACCTACACATGTTCATGCAACAAGGTGTCGCTGTTCGCATGCCTGCCTTTCCACCGAAGTAGAACGGGTTCTCAAATACCACATGCGATCAAGGCAATTTCTTCACGCATATCTAAATGTGTACATACCTACGTGCACATATGTGCACATGCATTAAATCTAGGCGTGTTTGGCTAACTGTTCGCGACGTAAGGGGGCCCGAGCCTTGAAGTAGTCGAACTTTTCTTGTTTGCCCCTGCATCCGTAAAAATGCCGTACGCCCTGTCTCCACATGTGCACCACACCGCCCGTGAAATCTCCAGCCCCTGGCCATGATTAACACCCTCGGGCATCCCTCGCGCGTCCTCCAACGCCTCCCTCCCCCCTCCGCCCCCCTCCATCCTCCTCCACCTCCTCCTCCTGCTCCTCCTCCTCCACCTCCTCCTCCTCCTCCTCCTCCTCCTCCTCCGCCCCCCTCCCTCCTCCTCCACCTCCTCCTCCTCCTCCTCCTCCACCTTCTCCTCCTCCCCCTCCTCCTCCTCCTCCTCCCCCTCCCTCCTCCTCCACCTCCTCCTCCTTCCCAGAGGAAGCGAGCAACCACGGCACCCGGGCGGGAGGCCTCCTGTGGCCGGGCACGGCATAGGACAGTCGTAGCGGCTGCCCGGGCTCCTCGGCCAGGAGGGCCGCAGGGATGCGCAGGAGCCCAGCGGAAGACGACGAGGAGCGCCCCAGAAGCGCGCAGATCCAACAACTGCCCCCCCTCCTTCCCCCCACGATAAACCATTGGGGTCTCTCATAACACCAGGAAGCACAGACTGGGAACCCGTGGGCAGCGGGAAAACTTCGGTTGCCTTCTTGCCAATTGCCCATGAGGCGATTCATCGGAAACGACTCGAGGTCTAGCCGGGAACCCGGAGAGAGCCCAGAGGCAGCCTGTCTTGTACACATCGTGTGGAGGGTGGGCGAGCAAGCTTTCGAATTGCATGCGCGACGTCCCAGGCTGGCGAAGACCATTGAAAGCGAGCATGGCAAGTGTTAGCCCAGAGCGAGTGCACAGCTGAATGCAAGCGGGATGTCCCAGAATGGCCTGAGCGACAATGCGCGAGCGATACGTGTTGGACTGACGCGTTGGGCTCTCGGCAAAGCGCCTGCAAGGGACCCTACAGGTGGTCATGTAAGCCGAGCATGTGTGTGTAGTTCTTCTACCAGGGTTACGCCCTGCGCACGAGAACTCACATGTTGACCAATCGAGGGGACCCTTGGAGATTGGCAGAAGCGAAGGAGCAGCTAGTGCCGCAACTCAACTTTAAGGAAGCGATCGCTCAAACACATGTAGCCCCTCCTTCCCGAAACATCCGCCCACTGTCGCTCAGGGCCCTTTGGGTCCTATGCAGCACCTCCTGGAACTCCGCGAAGGTCGAGCGCTTAGACAGTGTGGGATACCACTCTGGGTGCTCGTGGATGCCCCTCGTCATCGCCTTAGCCCACGCCGTGTTCCCCTGATCATCGTCTTCGACATTGTCGTCACCGCCGATGTCTTCATCATGTCTTTGGTGGTAAGAACAACCACGATAGTTAGCATCACTTGAAGAGCTAGACGGGATCAACACTTGACATGACATTAAGCTTTAGAAGTAGTAGACTAGCTGGAGGTATCGCACAGTCCTGGTGGCTAGCCAGAGAGAATAAATATCTTGAGGGGTAGCTTGGAGGGCTAGCTCGGATGAATCAAAATAAGAAGATTGAATCGAAGAAGGGTTAAACGGGTCCGAAGAGCTCGCCAAACGAGGTAGGAAGGCTGGAATATCCAGACACATTGGATTCCAACCACAGTTAGGACAGGTACGACCTTCCAGGGGCAAGAGGGTTAGAACAGCAATCCACATGTAGGATGGGAAGAAGGGTTCTAAAGGTTAGAAGGGAAGACATTCGCACGATTAGTCGAGCGGGTAATTGTCAAATCCGACGCGAAGCCCGTCGTAACACGAAAAATGCCTCCGCCAAAACAACAAGTCTGTACGTTGCGAGGCGCTATAAAACTCCATTAGAGCATGTGGGAGCTCAGTGGTTGGGCTGCGTTGGACCCGATAGGACGCCATTTGTGCCCATTCGACGCCACTGGACTCTTTCGGCTGCATTGAACCACAGTTGGCCTACCAGGATCACATTGGATCCACATGGGTTCTCATTTGAACCCACTCCACAGAAACCGACTGTGATACAAGTATGGTCCCAGTGTAAGACATCGGAGGGGCCACACTCAGACCCACCCATGTTCCCAACATAAAGTCGCCCCAAAGAAAGGCACCAACATGTTGACCCACCCACTTAAAATCTACTACGGAGCCCTTCTCCAGGAATGTCGATCAGCTAAGGTTGTTGTTTTCACAAGTGCCCACATCGGCCCGTCCCGAAACCCGTCTGGCCAGGGTTGGGCCCATGAACAAACTAAGACGGCCGCACGGTTCGGGCGGAATCCCTGGGCGCGCGGCGGTTCGCGAAGGGGTGGGCGACCAAAACAATGAGAATGCACGCGGCCCATTGAAATACACGTCGCTCATTTCTAACCGTGCTCATTTCTAAGCGTGCTCGGTTATACTTGTTCCTGGCCTCCCAGTGGCCAGGAAGAGGCCCAGGATAGAAGAATTAGAAATGAAGGGATCTTGTCCCCCCACAAAAATCAACACAAAAATCGAATACTTAGAAATGAAACATGTGTACGCACATGAATGCATGACAACAACCTCAGCCCTGCAGTGTCAGAGAGGGGGGCGGGGCGACAGAGCCCGATCCACTTCGCAACTGTGGGAAAACGGATGCGTGCAAGCCTGCTTGGATAGAGGCAATCGCCCGAGGGGTGGATTGGGCCGAACGCCTCGGGATACGCAAGGCTGGTACGGGTTCGACGGGCTGCGTGTGCGATCCCGCCGAGCTCCAGCGGTGGCAGTTGTGCGCGCAGCGTCCTGAGAACAAAACTCAGCAGGCGGTGGAGCGACACTGCAACGTGATGTACGCACTGGCAGGCTGCTTTAACACACGCGTACGCGCACACGCGCCAACCATTGTATTCGCCAACTGGCTCGGCTACAACAGCCGCACACACGTGACACATCGTGTCACACCCCACAACGTCCACCATCAGAAAACTATACGTTCCAACATTGACGCCGCTATTATGTCGGACTGGGTCCGCAGCCCTGGCCAAGCACCTTCCAGGCCTGCCCATATTCACACCAGGGGCGTGGCCCACTGCACGCTGACGAAGCACGTGTCGTTGACCACTGCATCTTGGCAGGGCTCGTCTGCCTGGATAGGAAGAGGAGGCGCTGGGAAAAGAGCGATGGAAATGAGAATGAAGGGAGAGGCAAACGGATAAGTATCGGCACTAGCATAAACACGCTCATAACCCCTAGGCATGGAACAACAATGACTTGGGAAAATATGTGCACATGTGTGTGCGCAACCGTACACATGTGTACAATGATTTCGGCATGCAAACACGCAAAGGCGTACGCGATTATAGTGCCGCATGCAGGATGCACAACGCAGCATTCGGCACACGCATACATACTAGGGAAGTGCCATAACCACAATGCGTCATCGCACGCATCGGCGTAAGCATTTACCAACACTAGCGTGCGTGCGAGTGGAAGTCCCACCCAGAATCACAAGCATAGCAATGAGCGTCAACACATACGACTATACACGATCGCGGCCACGGTGACACTGGAGGGGCAATACGAAGACCATGACCAAGACTGAACGCGGAAACGTCGGTGTTGATCTTGGTCACCACACATCTTCGTCATCATCGATCCGCGGGCGGATCCCCCTCGCGAATCGGTGTGCCAGCATGGACCGTGACCAAGATCGGCGTTGACATAACCCTGGGTCATCTTGGTCATGGTCAGCGTGTTTCCTCCCTAGGCGTACGAATGCGCGTGCCCACCAACGAAAACAATTTTATTGACATATGAGCATGGCAAGAGCATAACCCATACGTAATGCATACTGGGCGTTCGCGTAAAACAACTACAACCGTAAACCATAACTGCCAACCATAAGCCGCAATCATAGGGCCGTACATCACCCACATCGACATAACGCATTTATGCACTATAAATCATACAACCCACATGCCGCGGTTAGCATTTATCGCAAAACACGCATACGCGCTCAGCGCGGAATGCCACCCCCCAGAGTGATTACTGGAGCACAGCAGATGTGTCCACCTGCATCAGCATTGTAATCCATACGATTCAACACCAAGCGCAAAATAGCTACGCAACTAACAAATACATAAATACATGTCGCCGCGCCGGTTGTCCAGTCCTCGACGCGCCCAGATGGACGACGCCGACACCACGGCAAACCCACGCCGAGCCCTGCGTCCCGCGCCCAATAAGACGACGCCAGCACCACGGCAAGCCCACGGCGAACCTTGCGTCCGAGGCGGAGTTTGCCCTGGTGGAGGCGCCCTCCCCACAGCGTAGGGCCGCGCGTCGGAACAAACGGCGTGGCAACACATGCACTTTTTACGTCGCACCGCGGCAGAGGCAACCCGCACGCGCGCTCAAGCGGGCCCAGAGGCGGCAAACGCTCACCGCTGGCAGCAAGAGGGGGGGAACAGGGGACTGGCGGGGAGGAAGGGGTTAGGGAGGGGAGGGTCCTCTCAGGGCAAGTTGCATCGCCTTGGGGCAGCCAGGGCGGCCAGCCAGAGCTCCATCATCCTGGCAGTGGGCGCGGAGCGGCATCACGGCCACACCCATTGGCTGAAGCTGAGGCTGCAGCGCGCGAAGTGCAGGATGCACCAGCACAGGAAGAGGGCGCGCAGGCCCACGACGCGAGGATGTAGGTGAGCGCGATGCCGGTCGTGCGTGAGGCTGCACCAGGCAAAGGCGGGGGGGGGGTCAATCACAAACTGGCGGGCGACCACGGAAACGGCAAAATACACAGCAGGGTTGGGGAAGCCAAAAGGTACCGATACCGGTACTCCCCGGACCTCTCCTAGGGTGCGTTCTGACCAGAATTTCGAGGGGAATCCATCGGTGGCGACGAGGGCCTCCTAGGAGGCCCCAAAAAAGGGGAAACGGGCGAAGTGTAGAGGTATGGGTACCTTTTCCTCCTCCGAAGGGTCGGCGAAGGCCGGGACAGGAGGGCGGCGGGAGAAGCTGACTGTCGGTGCTGAAGCTGACCGCACTGCAGGGGCACTGGCCCGGCCAGCGGCGCGCCAGGCAGCAGCAGGGCACGGCGGGCGGGGGCGCGGGGCGCCGCACCCGGCCGGCAGCGCCACAGCGAAGGCCAGAGACCAGGCGGGAGGAGGAGGAGGAGGAGGAGGAGGAGGAGGAGGAGGAGGAGGAGGAGGAGAAGCGAGGAGGAGCGAGGAGGAGGAGGAGGAGGAGGAGGAGGAGAGCGAGGAGGAGGAGGAGGAGGAGGAGGAGGAGGAGGAGGAGGAGAAGCGAGGAGAAGCGAGGAGGAGGAGGAGGAGCGAGGAGGAGGAGCGAGGAGGAGGAGCGAGGAGGAGGAGGAGGAGGAGGAGGAGGAGGAGGAGCGAGGAGGAGGATGAGAAGCGAGGAGGAGGAGGAGGAGGAGGCTGCAGGTCCCTGTGCCAGCACAAAGGGCGGGCTCCAGGGCTGCAAGCTGTGGCTCCGAGGTGCCGTCCAGCGGCATTTGGCGGGCCAGCGCTTGGCCACGAACGCCGCGCGGGCCGGGCGGCAGCACCGTGTAGGCAGGGAGCGGAGCGGAGCCCGCACTCCGCCCGCGCACGCCTCACAGCTGAGGGCGGGGCACCCCGCCGCAGACCGGGCGGGGCGAAGGCGCCCCACTGCGAGGGCAGCGACACGTGCAGAGGCACGTGCACAAACGGGCATACGCAGACTGGGAGACAGCGGCCAAGAGACCAACAACGGGATCTTGATTCCCGGTACGTAGCCGCCGGGGGCGGATGGGGCGCGCACACAACTAGCAACGAACGCAACAACTTCGGAATAACAAGGAGAAGCTGGTGCCGATGTGGGTCGAGGAGAGCCGGCGGATCCGATTGTCCGGATGATCTCATCCTCATCTAAAGCGAGCCTGGGTTCGCCCTCTCCTCCCACTGCCGCCCCGCCCAGCCAGCCGTGCCATTATACTGCTCATCTCCTCCTCCTCCTCTCTCTTTCCCATTCGCGGAAATCCCCCCAAGCAAATCCACCGACCATGTCGGCGTGTGTGGAGACGTTTGTCCGTTTGAATATTCGTCGTCGTCGTCGTTGTCGCCATCGCCGCTCCACTTCTCCGTTTGAGTTGTCGTCGTCGTCGTCGTCACCGTTTCTACTCTCCCCCTTTCTCTGGGGCCTCCTCCTCAACCGATCTAGCCAGACAGAAACCGAACAACGTTGCGATCGAGTCGAAGGGAAGCCCCTCCCCTTCGATCCCTTCCCCGCCTAGACGGAGGGGGGGGGGGGCGCCAGGGGGGTCGCCGGGGTGGTTGCCGGGGGGCCCCTCATGGGCGGGCCCTAGGAGTTGTAACCCCCCCCCTTCACCGACCAAGACTGCCCAAGTGAGCCCCCCAAAGCCGCACGAGGGAGAGCACCAATTGGGTCGGTGGGAAGCCCTTGGTCCCTTCCCCGCCAGGAGGGTCGGACCCCGAGGGGAGATCGCCTGGGGCGGTCCCGGTAGGGGGTCCCAGGGGGGGCCCGAGGCCAACAGGGCCCACGAGGAAAGGGCCCCCACGGGGGCTCGCGAGCGTCGTCGTCGCCGCCGCCGCCTTCGTCGTCCCCCTTGAGGGTCGGCGGCGCCGGCCGTGAGGCCTTCGCAGCAGGGGAGGTCACGAAGAGGGCAGTCTCTCCGCGTAGACTCCCCGAGGCCTATAGTCGGACTTCATTGGACAGGACACGCGAGAGGACAAAAGACCCTTCCGAGGGTCACATTGCCATAGGAATGCAGGAGGCACGGGTCGCGAGACACGGGACATCAAAGTACCCTTGATTTGGCAGGGTCGACCTACTAATCCGGGCCGACTGTAGCAGATTCTTGATATCGATCGCCACACAGCAAAGAGAGCCACTCTCAGACTCTTCCAGAAGCACACTTGGCCCCACCCTGCAGAACCACGTCTGTGGAACGGATGCCCACGTGCATCTGAATGTGTACACGCAGGAGCAACTCTCCCTGGCAAACGCTTATCCGACTCCTGGATGCGCACCCGACGTCCGAACGCTAACCAGCCCTGGAGGACTGCTAGCACAACCATCCTCGAAGCCAATATAGTTTAAAACAATTGTTCGGCAGAATCCGAATTCAGCAGTTCAGTAAAGCACCAAGCTGTATCGGCAGCGCACTTGAACCAAGTTGAGCGCATTTTTCTATTCGCGGCTATAACGGGCGCATTGGGGGGGAGGGGGGGGGGCGGGACGGGGCATAACGTAGCTCCCCCCCCAGACAGTGGTGCTGGACGCACTGCGGCAGTGACGGGGACACACTGAGAGGGGCGGGTAGGTTATTGGGGGGAAGGGTAGGGGGGCATAACGCGCGTTATGGCCCAGAGGCGAAAAGAATACGCTAACTGACAGTCCACACACAAAGACACACGCACACACACACACACAAACACACACACACACACACAAACACACAAACACATACACACACACACACACACATGTAAACACACACACACACACACACACACATGTAACGATGAGGTACTATATCTGGCCTGTCGTCTAAACGCTTGTTTCCCACGCCTTTTCCTCCAGCACGTGGAATCTAAACGTGCCGAAAAAAAACAAGCATAACCGAACTTCCTTCCCGAAAAGGCTGCGGATAGCATACTTCTAGTGCTTCCGAGGCACCCTGCGACGCGGAACGCATTGATGCGGTCGCCATCGTCCGCTCCCGAGGTGAGGGCCAGAACGGCTCCCCAGGATACGCTACCAACCCCAAACCCAGTCCTCCGCAAAAATCCGCCGATCTGGCGTGCGAGTTTCTGAGAGCGTGGACTTGAGCTCGCTCAAGCTTCGCTCTGCAAGGGGGGGGGGGGATGCCATTCCCGATGCATTTAATGCTCGGGGGCGGGGGGGCCCACAGGCCCCCAAGAAGCCCCCAGGAGTCTCTGAAGGGGGGCAGGGGGGGACGCCATTCCCGACGCATTTAATGCTAGGGGGCGGGGGGGCCTACAAGCCCCCCAGAAGCCCCTAGGAGGCCCCAGAAGGCCCACAAGAGGCCCGAAAGAGGCCCCAGGAGGCCCCAAAACGACCCCAAGAGGCTTCCCCAGGTCCCTTGCACATTCCCCCGAGCCCCAGTCATCAAGCCTGAGGATTCCT